ACATAAACATATTTTCATATATACAAATATATATTTATCACATCGAGGTCTAAAGAACTGCAGATAGAGGACGCTCCGACATAGCCGTCCAAATTAAAGCAAGACTAAGGCTATGAAAGCAATCAATCATACACATACATTGTTTCCCCTGCGCCTGGGGTAGATGTATCCTTTGTAGTCAATCTTCCCTGCTTTCTCCTCAACGAAAAACTGGATCCAGTTGTGCAGCCCCATAACCTCGCCGTTACGCACTTCGCCCACAAACACGTGTTCGAATCCGCTCGTGTCGTTCTGTGTATCTCGGCTGTGATATAATGTGGTATCATATACAAATCGCAACGTGAAAAATCTTATGTTTTGATATTTAGATATATATATATATACATATATATTGTTTATTTGTTCATAAATCGTGGCGTATGATTTCGGACGTATAGATTTATGTGCGCGTAAGAATTTAAGCAACTAAGGTATTACAATCGCCCGATTCGTCACTTTGCCCACAACTACACATGTCGTGTATTGAATGCCAATGTATCACGCTCTCCAGACTACTCGATTTTATTAATGCCACCCATCAAGAACGAATCAAGCGCACGGGTATATAAATCCGTGTCCAATAATTCGGTATTCATATAGGACTGCGGGTCTGGGACTGTGGTGATAGGGGTTGTACCGTCAGTTCGAAGTGTATACTTCGGCCGATATTTGAGACCTCAAAGGCTTCAGGGCCGACAGTATGGGCATTCCCGTGCGACTACGATTGTGGCGATGGTCTTATAAAGTCATTTCGAAATGTACATGTGTATGTCACCCCCAGTATATGACATTCAATAGGCTTCATGAGTTAAAGCTCGGGAAAGCTAAGTATAGCTGTAGTTATGAAGGTATGGCTTTCGACAGCTACACGTGCTTATTTTGTATCAGAAAGCACGAGTCTGTGGGCGTGACGGCTGACAGCGTGAGCAATCGCGTAAGACTGGTCTAAAATCAGGCGATGGTTTTGTGCGGTATAGCTAAGTCAATACACCTCAAATTTTCGAAGGTCCAGCCATAAACGAGGCACGCTCACTTCCTGTGGTCAAATATGAGCTTGTCTAATCTATTTGTATATGTCGCCTACAATACAGACAGGCGCTCTCCTCGTGGTCAAAGGTTGTCATGTGGTGTGTCAACTCTACTCGAACAAACGTACATATGATACTGAGAACACAACCGCTATGGCCATGGATAAGAATAGAATGCGCGGACAAGCTTGCATCTGCATATATCAGATATACTTGCTGTGGCCAGGGATAAAGGTCAAGATATGCACACACATATACGCACATATGTATTGGTCTAATCGAATACGTTTGCACCTACCGGTAACCTGAAAACCAGGTTTGCCACAGTAGCTTCTTGAACGACTCCAAACTCCTCTGCGCAATGGGTGTTTGGTGATAGATTAAGATTACCACTTCGGAATACGCGAGGTGAGACAAGTGCGCGTGAACGTCCGTTGCGATTGATAATGAAAGTCAAATCACGACGCATGCAGAGCACATAAAAAACAATAGTCAAGTTCCGGAGATTGAGAAGCGTTTACGTAAAATGATAGTCGCATCTCGATCGACATTAAATATTTCACTATATGAAGCAACTCGAATAGGATTGTAGTCACTGATACGTATTCACGTACGCAGATAAACCCTACACAGAGAAACCAGTCGGCGTGGGCATTGTCTCGAGCCCCATATTATTGAATTCATTGAATTCAAGGAATACAACCGTGAGCTCGGGTTGCATTTGAGGCGTATATCGTAGTACATGTATTAAAGGGACTTACAACACGTGAGCGAAATAAGTACGCATATACCACTTTTTGCCCCATTAATTGTGGTCTGTAATTCATCAATGGGAGCGTCATGCGGTGCCGATATAGCGCAAATGCAGAATCAAGCGCAGAGCCAGATCACTGACCGATAGAACAATACTGTACGCGCTAATATGCATGCGCAACATTGCTGACCATCCATAATCAAAGATAGTTGTATCTATATTCACAATGCATACTCTAACACGCTCATACAAAAGTACCTGGAGATTCCTCCCTATACTTACTGTTTGTGCACATGAACCGAGGATATAATAATAAGTTATAATCTCATACATAAACAATTGTATTAAGAATTGATAAAATTACATTCATATATATATATATACACATACATACATACATACATACATATATATATACATATAAATATATAAATATATAAATATATACATATATATGTATTCATGTATATA